TTTTGCTTTTTAGTAAGTCTGTATCTCATTGACTTTGTGGGCTATTAAAGGTTCAGCAACAAGTACAACCACAGAGGATTGCGTAAGAGTACAGACCAGCACAAAAATCCCTCTCTCAATCAGTTACATTCTAAAGCAGTATTAATAGAAAACATTTATTCCATTGTTTCAGTAAGCTAGGAAGTCTCAGAGTTCATAGGATTTGAAATATCTGGCAGACTCTCATGCAACACGACTTAGAAAACTACTTGCCCTCATTCCTGATACACAGAAAATAGGCAAATGGCAAAGTGCTGGTAAACAGCCCTTTGCCAGACACCTGATTTGCCTAAAGACAAGGAATTCCAGAGGAAGAGAGCAGAAAGGCAGAGCAAAAGCTGGCACAGCCCAAGATGCTGTGTTGGAGACTCAATTAGAGTCAACGGGGTCAAAGTCAGGATCCAGTGGCCCCTAGGAATGTCAAAGGACAGATAAGAGCAGCATCAAGATTGGACTACACACACTGAGCCAAAATTAACATCAGGGTTACTGGGGTGAGCAGTCATCAGTTCCAAGTTGTGCATGCAGCTGTCACAGGAATGAGTGAAGAGCTTCTGATACTGCCCTGGGTTTGCATACAGTATTGAGCCCCTAAATATAGTAAAAAAATAAAATAAAATTAAAAAAAACCCAAAATAAAATAAAAACCAGAAAATAATTTAAAGTGTTTGTAATACTTGCTTACTCTAACATTTTAATGAGATTTTATAGTGCAGACCATAATTTACCATAAGCAGATTCAATTTACAAATGCTGCAGAACTGGAGACATGGTGCTTATTTATAACTATATTAATTTACTTATGTGTTTGCACTTTATATTAAATATATGCATACTTTTCATGGTGTGGTTCTTTCTAAATGAATTTATATCCTCCAAATATTAGCTGTAATAACACCAGCTTTCTCAAATGCAATTAAACAACTAAATTAAATTTGAAAAGATTATATCAAAAAAGTCTTTTTATAAATAAGGTCTGTAGAAATTTAGTTACTGTTAAACTAATATTAATGTAATATTTAACATTGCATTAAGTGCATTAAAAAAAATGATATTTCCTTTGCCAAAACCTTTAAGAGGAAAAGTACCTTTATCACTGAATTTACAGAAAGCCTTTAATTTGGAATTACAGTTTCTTAATAAATGGTTTGATTTGAAACATGGCTTTCCTTTGGAGAAAATGCTTAAAACTAAGAAAAATATCTAAATATAGTATTTGAAGACACATCCATCAGGAAAATCTGCAGAGTAATGGCAATGCCTGTAGGAAGAGAGCATTATTTTGACTGTGAGCAAAGTATAGTGAGAGAACAGAGTTCTCAGACTTACAGTTTTTTTCCACACAGAGTACTCTAAAATGGTCAGATCCCACACTCTCTTCCAAAAACATAATAATTGATGTATCCAGATTGCATCCTTAAGATTAAGAAGCTAACCAAGCCATGCACACAGATGATTTGGTTTCAATCCAATTCCCTTCTCTGAATAAATTTCATTTTATTACTAATCTCAAGGTTTGAAGTTATGAACCTCATGTTAATTTCTCTTTCATTACACAAAAACCTTTAACCACAAAGGTACCAACAGGGATATATTCACATTATTCAGGATTCTCCACTGAAAGGAAACAAAGGACTTTGAAATAAAGCACAGGAGACGTGCTAGTCTTACAAGGGAACAAAACTATGATTAATATAACACTGACTTACGCAAATACGATCTTACTTTTGTGCAAGTACTGCTACCAGGAAGAAAGAATAAAATAGCCAGGACTTTTGCACCCATCAGTAATAGTTCAAGAGCAGTTCTCTTATAGCTACAATGTATTTCATAAGAAAAATTATACAAATTTTCTAAACATATCAGGGGAGCAATTATTTTTACTACCACTTATCATAAAAATGTAATATAAACAATATCTGAAAATACAGACCAGAACAAATTAATCTTAGATTTTAAAAAGATGATTTTTATTAAGCACAAACAGCTTTTAATACATTATCAATACAAATAGGAAAACATCTGTTTAATGAATTTGATATATCAAAGATCTGATGGGCAGGGTGCATACTGGCACAATAAAAATGATTTTTTTTTTTAAGTATTTCAAATTAAAATTACAGGGTTACCACAGTCTACACTGCAGGTACTTTCCTCACAGTCTAAAATTACTACATCACCTGGGCATGGGGGAAGCAAAGAACTAGAGTTTCATAATATGGAACTTCTAACACTTTAATTAGCACCACTCAAAGCTTGCATCAGCTGTCTAACTAAGAAGCAGCTGACAGGTCAGGTAAAGCTTTACAGCAAATTTCAGTGCAAAGTTTACAGTTCCTTTTCATAAGATACTTGGAGTCTATGGTTTCATAGCATGTTAAATAATTATGGCTTGATAGATGTACAGTATTAAGATGCTGAGAACATTTACTTTGAAAAAAAGATGAGACTCGTAACAGCTGTGAAATGCATTTTAATATATTATACCAAATTCTGTAATATGCAAACAACATGCTGGATTACAAACTGAAGTCCTGTTATGAATTCATAGACAAGGTCAGTATTAGCTCTCTCGGGTAGTGGCTTCTGGTTGTCTCAGCTGCTGCTTTTTCAGGCTAACTAACTTCATCTTCTCCCTGATGTGTTCTGCTGCAGAAGCCATATCACTTGGGCTCCCAAAGTACTGCTCAGACCTAGAAAAAACCCAAACCACAATAAATTATCAGTAGTAAGTCAGTACATGAATACACCTGTTAATTGAAGTAGAAAACACAAAACTGATGAGAAAAATAGCCACTTTTCCCTCTTGTCATTTAAAAACCACCTTTAAAAGCTTTGGAGACTTAGTGATGAAGACTTAACAGCAAATTTTAATGAAATTGTTACAAATACTCAATGAGCCTTTC